CGCCTCACTGAGCCTCTGCTCACTCCCCCCATGTTGAAGATGAGCACCTCCATCCCTGGCCAGGTCACTTGGAGCTGGCCTCCCCTTGGACCATTGCTGGAATCACACAACTCCATGCAGATAAACTCTGCTCCTGCCCACCAGCAGGACCTGATGACCTGAAGTGACCCTGGGCCCGCCCCTGGCCCACTAGGCCACAGCTTCCTTCTTACTCTGGGCGTCCCCCATCCTCTCACACAGACCTTTGCTGAATTAAAGTTTGGAAGTAAATGGTTTTAAAGAAAGCAGAGCTGACTGGTTCTTGAGACAGTGGGCCTGGGGGGGGAGGGCTGGGGTGGCCCCTACAGGTCTTGGTGTGCCAGATCCAGTCTCTGCCCTTCCCCAACTCAAAAAAAAAAAGATTAACCACCTTAATATCTGAAAAGAGAAATGCCCAACCACCCACACCACATGTTCACCGAAGGAATGAGTTGTCATCCATCGCTGTGCCAGGCACATGCTAAGTCCTAGAGATACAACAGCGGACGAGGAAGGCATAGACATTGCCGCTCTCACCTCACAGGCTTGCAGGCTAGAAGTGACACATAGTGGACAACTAGTTAGTAGCTTTATTTGGTGGCTTGAAAACCATTATCCCTGGGGTCGGAGAACAACCTGAACTCTCAACGATGTATTACTAGCTCTTTAAGATCCTGCCCCCTGAGTATCCTTCAGTTCTGCCCCCTCCTCTACTGGACCACAGCCACTGACCTAGGTCAGGTACTGGTTACCTGTCCCCTTGTCACTTAGGTTTGGGCAACAGCTTCCTCACTGGTCTCCTGACCACCTCTTCCAGTCTTGCCCCTCCCCCAAACAACTGAAATTCCATCCTGCTGCCAGAGTGGCCTGCAGGGGCTATGGTTTAATCAGCGCTTTCTTTTGCTTAACCTTTTCTATGGATACTCACTATCTTTAAGGACACACCCAAACTCCTCTATGGCATAAAGGGCCCATGAGGACCGAGTCCCTGTCTCTGTCTACTAATTGCTCAACTGCCTGCATCTTTCCACCTGCTGTTGGCTCTACCAGAGCCCTCACCTGGGCGCTTCCCCCCTCCTCCCCCCTCCTCCCCTGTGCACTCAGAGAAAGCCCCCACCCGTTCTCCCAGAGCATCCCAGAAGCCTTTGCATCACGGCACTTCCTCCTGTGCCCTGTAACTGTCAGCTTCCTCGACGAGGCTGAAAGCTCACGAGGGCAGGAAGGAGTCTCTCCTCACCTTGGTACTCCTGGTACCTCAGCCTCCAGCCCTGCCCACAGTAGGTGCTCAGTGCATGATGGATGAACGAAGGCAAGGCTCCGTGTGGACAGAGATAAGTTGTCTGGATCTGTATGAAAGAGAACTCTGTCTCACGGCTGTGGATGAAGTGCTGGGAGACAGCGTAGACTGTAGCTTCCTTGTGCTGTATGTGAGGAAACTAAGGCCAGAGGAGGCAATGGACTTGCCTGGAATCACACAGCTAGGTGGTGACTTGTTCCCATCCTATTTAGCATTCACATTTATTTTTCCCCAAATAGAAAACTCTCCAGAGCCTCTTTAGAGTGTTTGAGATGCACACCCTAGAACTATCCATGGGAAACTTTAGGTCATGAAATCACAGCTACTGGGAATAAGAATAGACATTTTTAGAGAAAAAATCAATGAGACCAACAGGAATGGTTGGACCCAGATAGAACCAGAGCTCTGAGCCACCTCTAGTATCAATAATATATTGTCTTAATGAAGGTATTTTCTCTTAATTGCGATGTTTCCTGTTTCAAGTACTAGTTGCAGGTGCCTGAATAGCTCCTTTTTTCTCCATCCCCCGAAGTGGTAATCTTAGGTGGAAAATGCACTGGTAAACTCAAGTTTAAAAATCGTATAGACAGAACGTGAGAATGTTGTTTGCCAGGTTTATAATATCCTTGCACTTGGCTTGCCTTGAGTTCTGACCTGTACTCATTTAGTTTGGGTTTAAGAGTATCTCTAATGCTTCCATTTTGCAGAAAACAGGTTTACGGGAAAGCCTCAAGTAGAGTCCTGAAAATGTACTTGGCTTTTTACAAAGCTTTAATTTCTTTTTGATGAGCGCACTCTGCAATATTCGAAATTGTTCAGCTAAATTTTCCTAAACACACGCGGGGGCTCAAAGGCAGAGTGTGGGAGGCTCTGGGAGAAGTGGGTTTACTGACCCCACCGAGAGGAAGTTAATGAATCAGAAGTGGACTGCTTCTCACTCATGAAATAGGTCGTACAGGCTGATGCTGATGGGCACTTGAGCGGTCTGTTACATTTCTGGTCTGTTACATCACTGCTTCTGCAGGGTTTCTCCAGGTAGCACATGGGCTTTCTGCAGGACGGGGAGCACCTTCTCGATTTCTTCGGTGTCTCCATCCAACAGTGCCCAGAAGAGTGCTAGGTATACAGTTAGCACTGAATGCTTGCATAAATGCTTCATCTAGAAAGTACACATGCTGACATACATAAATAAGAGTCCAAGCAGGGATTATTGATTCTTGCTACCCTTGGCATCTCCAATTCTCCCCATTTTTTTCGTCCCAGAGCAGGGGCACTCAGTTGTACCAAGGAAGTCACAGATGCAGTTTGCACACTTCTTAAAGGCTGTACACACTCCGCCCGGTCGTGGGCAGTGGCTGCATGAGCCGCAGGAATAGGCTCCTGTGACTGAGCTGCTGGCCAGGACACAGAGGCCAGGAGGTGAATGCATTGGAAACCTCTCTGTTCTCGCTTCCCAGGCCTGAGCTGAGGCCCAAAGTCACGCAGACCAGAGGTGTGGGGACAGGGAAGTGGCACAGAGGGTCTCCTACGGGGGGACTGGGTGAAAAGAAAACCCTTTAGAAGCCCTGAGCCCTTCTCGCCGAGGAAGGCTCTAGGAGCAGACACTGTGCAGCCCTTTCTCTCCTTCCCCTGGGTCTGACCTGGTGCCAGCACCTCCCGGGGCCCCTTGGGCTGATGGCTGGCCCGGTGAATGCACAGCCTTTGTCCCGTGCATCCCTAATCTGCATCAAGAAATGCAAAGCCCCTAATGTTCCCTTGGCCGCCACTGAAATAACCTGGAATGCCATGTTTGCATGTCCAATGCTGCAGACTGAGTCATTCATACATTTCCCATCCACCGTCCAGTGAATGACGAAAAGTGACTTGGCCTGTCTCCTAGGGGCTGGTCACAGAGAGCTGTGGGGAGGACGGAAGAGATACCTTCTGGAAGCTGCAGGGGGTGGCCTTCCCGGAGCCCTGGCTGGGCCCTGACCTGCCAGCAGGCTTCCCCGGAGGAGAAATGAGAATCATGTCCCCCTAGGCTTTTGCACAGGAGCAGGCCGGCTCTGGGTTCAATTCCAGATGGGTCCTGACGTTGCGTTCACTGCCAGGTGCTCTCTGGTGCCAACTGTCGGCAAGTGCTTCTCCTTCTCTGCTTCCTCGTTGCTTAGCTCCAGCCGCTAGCGCCAGAGGTTGAAGGGACGGATCATTTGATCAAAGGTAAATCCCCGTGGGACCTGGTGGAGGGGAGGTGCTCCCTGGCCTGGATTCTCACAGCCCGTGGTGTTCCCCATTCAAGCAGCACAAAGGGATGCAAAGCAGCGGCTGCCTCTATGGGAGGGGAGGTCCCTGCTCCCACGCGCTGCCTCGGCCTCCCACCAGTCTGCCCGAAGACTCCTGGCGGGCTCACGTAGCATAGGTGCGCCCAGCCATTGATCTCCCAGGGGGCACGCAGACCAGCTTCGCCAAGAGAGATTAACCCCCCAAAGGGCCCATCTCACTGAATTAGGCTAAGGCAAAAGCAGGGGTGTAGGAGTCCTTGGCAGTTTCTGCCGAGCAGATTCAGGGAGCAGAGGACAGACTTTCAATGCCCACAATCAGGGGCAATAATAACTCGTTTCTTTCTCTTTGGTGTGCTTATTGCACGAAGGTGGTATTGTGCCAAGTCTTTTAACTCTAGACCGAATTTTATTCCTCAGTAGTAGTTAGGGAAAAAAGAAAAAAGGAAGCAAAAACGTTGTGAAAAATTGATCGTGTTCACAGTTCTTAGTTTTGAATTCTATGTACGTTTGGCAAGGCTAGATTTAGTCTCGTTTTGTAAAACAGAAAAGAAGAAATCCGAGTGAAGGCCTTCTGTCATGCATAGCCCTTGGGTGGCAGTAGAGTTGGGGGATCACTCAGGGGAGGTCAGGCCTTAGCAAACTCATTTGTGCATCAGAAGCTGGTTAGAGGTGAGAGTTCCGAGGGTACAGAGCACAGGGAGAGGCAGGGGTGGGGCCAGGTAGGTGGGCAAGGACTCAGAGCTCAGTGACGGGTGGGGAAGCCCAGGGCAGCTGGTCACTTAGAACAGCGGCATTGAGGAGACACTGGAACCTTCACATGCTGCCGGTTGGGAGGAGGACGCTGCAGCCCTTTGGGAAACCAGTTTGGCAATCACTCAAGACGTTAAACGGACGTGCCACGTGACGTAGAATTTCACTTCTAGGTATACATCCACCCTGGAGAAACGCAAACCTATGTCGGCACCAAGCTGGACGCGAATGTTCCCAGCAGCATTGTTCACCATAGCCAGAAGGTGGAAACAGCCCACTGTCCGCCAGCGGATGAATGGGTCAACACAATGTGGTGTGTCCACACAATGGACTACTACAGTAAAAAGATACAAAGTACTGGTTACAATATGAGTAACATTTTGCTCAATGAAAGAATTCAAGCACAAAATAACACCCACCATGCTACCTGTTTGAATGAAATGTCCAGAATCGATGAAACCAGAGAGACAAGAAGTAGGTCAGGAGGTGCCTGGGGGTGGGAGGCTGGGGTGGGAATGGGAGCAAATGGTTCTGAGGTTCCCTCTGGGGGGAGGACAACGGTCTGAAATCAGATAGTAATGATTTCATCATTTCTGTAACTATGTAGAACATACTTGAATTGTACACTTAAAATGGGTGAATTTCATGGTCTATAAATTATCCCAAATAAAGCTGTTAAGAAGACAAACACAAGCAGAGGCATGAAGGAACGTAGTTAATGAAACTTGGGGTGTGAGCTGACTCTGGGACAGGGGAACCCGAGATGGGCATCCTGATTTGAGAAGTCAGCTCTGCGCTGGTCCCACCCCTTTGGCTGCCGTCACCACGGCTGTCAGTCCCCTCCTAGCTGATGGGACATCCCGGGTGTCAATGACTTGTGATTTCAGATGGAAAACTTCCCAAGCTGGGCAAGGATGGATATCTCTGAGTGTTTCAGTAAAAAGGGGGTGGCGGTAGTTTTGTGCTTAAGTAAGATTGGAAACTGGTATGAAATAAGTTTTTCTACATCAGGACTTCCGAAACGACTGTATAATATAATATCTATCACATTTTCGAAATGCTATCCTCCATCTGCGACAATTACTGCTACATAAGGCCCGTGCATTAGACCCGGATGTAGTCAGAAGAATAAGGGGGAATAATGCGCACTGTAAAGGGATGGCTTTAGAAAGGCGATGGGGCTGCGTCAGAGTTTGTCTAGGACGAGCAGATACCGTGAATCCCCTCCCCTGGGCACGTGTGCTGTCCCCTCACTCAGTGGCCATTCATTGACTGATCTCAGTGCCAGATGAACTTGGCGCCTTTGGTTACCACATAACATGTAACTGCCTCAGTTTCCTCGGGGTTTAAGTGGGAGACACACAGTAGGTCCACAATAAACGTGGCTGAGCCGCGCAGAGTTTAGTTGGGGAGACCCCTTCGAGTCTGTTTCTGTTTTCATTATTAGAAACACGCGCCACAAACTTAGGGGCTCAAAACAACACCCACTGATTTTCTCACTGCTGTTTGTCAGGAGTTTGGGGTCTCCGTTTAAAAGGACACTAATCCCATTTGGGAGAGCTGCACCCTCATGACCTGAGCACCTCCCAGAGGACTTCCTATTCCCATCACATGGAGCACCAGGATTTCAACGTATGGATTTCAGGGGGACACCAGCATTGCACCACAGCACGCGTTAAAGAGTTCGAACCACTTGCTGAGATCTGGAGCCAGCATGACAACGACACTCACGCTTCCCAGCATGATGTCAGTAGCTGTACGGAAATATGCAAACGGAACCCCAGATAAGGCGGGCTGTCGGGAGCTCCTGCAATGATCAGGATGAGAAGTGGTGCAGGGAACTAGGTAAGGTCAAGAAGATGCAGAGGAGCGAAGAGATCGGATTACTCTTCCGGGGCTGGAGCTGCTGAGAGCAGAGAAGCGGGGAGCGTGGCCTGTGTGCTGTGGGTGATGAGGAACTGAGAGTGACTGCCAGGCTTCTGGCTTAGGCCTGGGGGTGGGGGTGGTGCCGTCCATTGAGACAAATCCAGGATGGGGACGGGGTCACCACAATAGGGACAGCTTGGTACAGATGTTGGCTATTGGAGCCAGGAGTTTAGAAGAGAGATCATGATAGAAACGTCTTATGAATCGTTATTCTCAACGTGTGGCTTGGGAGAACACCTGACTGGGACCCCTGAGGTGGTATATTTTACTTAGGTTCCTACATCTTCCTAGATCCCACCAGGAGCTAGAATTTCTGGTGGTGGGGCCTGGGACTCTGCATTTTAGAAGCTCCAAGATGACTCCTGTGTGTGATTAAGGAGGCCTGTGGGGGTGTCACCTGGCCCCAGGCACCCCCTGTGATCGGCTACACATTGAAAGGGCCGCTCGAATTTGAACTGTAGGTAAGTTCTCACTAGATAGGGAGACCCTACGGCTGGAGGCCCTGGTGCCCGGGGAGCAGCAGCACTGGAATCTCTGGGGTACACCTCTGTCCTCTGATCCGCCAGCTCACCCTGACCCTCCCGTGCCCGCCACTTAATAGACAGGCCAAAGAGCCTCTTGTAAGGGCTCTTCGATGAGCCACAACACTGTCTTCCACAAATCCCCTCGGAGATGAGTTGTCTTAACTAAACACACTGCAGAGTGCCGTGCAATCGAGGATTTGGCTGGCCGCTCATTAAGACAGCCTGCTCCTGCTTTCGGCGGGACTCTCTGGAAGCCCTGGACGTGTGGAAGGAACGAAAGCTCTTCCATTAATAAACATTTACTGCAAGGGATTGGAAAGTAAATGCAGGCTTCCTTACACGTAGTAGGTGCTCACTAAACACCCGCAGAAGTAGGCTGACACGACTCAGGCGTTGTTCCAGGATTCAGGAGACAGAGGGGAAAACCATTTTCCTGAGCATCTTCAGACATTCCAGGAGACCGAACACCTGATGAAGGAAAAATCCACCAGGAAATCCGAGGATTTCAGGATTGGCTTAGGACGTCGGTGAGAATCCCCTGGGACGGGTCGCAGACACTCTGACTGCCTTGAAAGAGACAGGACTTTCGGAACCAATCTGGGAGTTTGCTGAGGTCTGTACAGTTAAATGGATCCAGGTGAGCCGAGCCACAGCATGTCGACGACATTAGAACTAGCATCAGTTTACCTGCCAAATCAAAGCCAGCCCAGCCCGCCGGCTTCAGCACGCCAGGTCCTTTATACCCGTTCCCCTCCCCTTCCCTACAGTTGGGATTTGGTCTCCGAGGATCTGACCCCCAGGCAATTGCTCACAACGAATTCACCCTTTTCCAAATTAGAAGTTAGGAGCCTGGTAGCACTAAATTAGCTGGGAGACTTCAATGTATTTGCTGATCAAGTAGAATGGTGGTCGTCCCCTGTCCCCCAGGGAGTGGATGCTCAACCTCATAAAGGATGGAGATGGTGCCACTTATCTGGTCAGCGATTCTGTGCCTTTGAGGGGCAAATCAGTCTCCCCAGCTCCTCAGTCTCCCCAGCTCCTGGGTGTTTCAAAGGCGGTCTCTTTGAGGAGCCATTTTTTCCCCCAACCCATGGACAGCTCATCCTCGCATCTCTTAACAAACATTAATCCCTGCTAAGGTCCTCGGGGCAGGTGAGTGACATGGAGTCAAAACAAGAAGAAGGCTGTGTACCTGCCTCTCGGTGGTTGGGTGGCTCCGGAAGCAAACCCATTACCGTCCCTCACGGCTGTGCTCAGCTGGTCTAGTCACCTTCTGAATTCTGCTGGTCAGTGGTGTTAGGGTCATCGAAGGAGGAATGCATCAGGCCAAAGTGGTAAGGGATTATAAATGTACTAGAGGCCTGACGCATGAAAATTCATGCAAGAGTAGGCCTTCCTTCCCCCGGCAGCTGGCATGGGCTTCCCTCCGACCCTGGCTTCATCTGGAAGGACTTCCGGAATGACGCCCGGAAGGACGTCTGGTCTAATTTGCATATTACCCTTTTATTATTCTAGATTAGGTCATCTGGATACCAGATGGGCTGAGCCCCCAAATGGTGCCAGCACCCAGGGATAGGGAGTCAGAGATTTTAAAGGATGCTATGTGGGCTTTTTCTGGGTGGAGAATTCTCTGGGTGGTAGGGATCCTGGGAAAATCCGGAGGGGAGAGAGAATAGTCTTAGAAAGAGGAATGAGGTCTAAGCAGAAGGGAATGTCCATTGTGAAGTGGCCTAAAGGCTAGTTTCCAGGGGAGGAGTATCAATTCAATGATTTGATCAAACCCAACAACTGGCTCATTTTGGTGCCGAGTGTGGCGAGATGATGAAATGGCACTTCTCCTGAGGTGGGATCCCTGCTG